GGTAGTAGCATGGGGCGAAAATGCCTTGGCCAGAGAATTGGATTTCTGGGATGATAATGAAGAACGCAATAATAAGGTTACAACGACAACGTTGGAATACTTCAAGCTGCATTTAGCTGATTCTAAAGAAGAAAAGCCTTACTTGCCAAAAGGGTTTGATTATCGAAAAGCAATTAAAGATTTTCTCAAAAAAATGATGGAAGTACGTTCATCCATGTGTCAATATGATTTTGTTTATTAAGTTTTATTTAAAATTTTTTTGAAAATACATTTAGTTGGTCAAGGAAACCCTTAATAAAAGATGGCAGGAATTAGAAATGTCTCAAGTTCGATTTGTTTTTACCATACCGGCGCAATGGTTTGTTTAATAATATAAAAATTATTATTTTTTGTTAGTATCATTGATTTTCCCTTAACATTAGGCAACCTGAAGAAATCGGAATTTTCCAAGATTGCATTTATGCGACTGAAATCGTTAAAGATAATTTAGAATTTACTACTGAGCGTAGGTAACACTCAAATTTACAAACTCCCCTCTTTTCATATACCATACTAATATACAATGTTGATTTTTATAGCAGAAGCTGCTGCTCTTTATTGTTTGAGCAAAATGGATGAACACAATCTATCTACTGGAGGTCAGTTACCATTCATGTTTTGTTTTTACACCAGGTGAAGATTAAAAAAAAATTTTTTTTTTTTTTTGTTTCCGTGCACATCAGATCTTTTTCTAGTGGTTGATAGTGGTGGTGGTACTGTTGACTTAACTATGCGCATTATATTAGAGGATAAAGCAATTGGTGAAATTACCGAGCGTTCAAGTGCCTTGTGTGGGAGTACTTATGTAGATAGAAAATTTATCGCTTTTCTGGAAGAAAAATTTGGCAAAGATGCAATTAAGAGATTTAAGGAAAACCATTACGAAGAATATCAATACTTAATTCATAAATTCTTTTGTCAACATGTCAAATTTGGATTCACCGGAGAACAATCGGCCTTTAAGAAAATTACTCTGGACTTTAATAGAATTTGTCCTAAACTTAAAGAATACGTGAATTGTTGCAATATTCAGATGAGTTTTGACGATATTAAGGATATGTTTGATCCAGTTGTGGAGACTATAATTAACCTAATAAGGGGCCAGCTTTCCAGTGTCTCTCAAAGATGCTCTGCTTTATTTTTGGTCGGTGGTTTCTCAGAGTCTTACTATCTGACCAAAAGAATAAGGGATGAATTTAAAAACACAGTTCCATACATTTGTGTTTCTCCGAAACCCATTACTAGTGTTGTTCGTGGAGCTGTTATGTACGGTTTAAACAAAAGTGTCATAAAATATCGTATATTAACAATGTATTACGGTAGGTTAAAATTACTTCATTTTGCATATATTCATTTTTTTCATTATACTTTACGTAGCATGTTCGTTTTAAACAGGTGTCGAGGTTTATCCAAAGTGGAAAAAAACCGACCCGAAAAGTCGAAGAACGACTGATGATAGAATATACAAATTCAGTTGTCTTGCCAGACGCGGACAAAAGATTGAACTTGACAAGAAGTGTTCGGGCATATATGTGCCTATATATCCTGATCAAAAATCAATTTCTTTTAAGGTGTTTGCTTCACCTAGATATGCCGAATATTGCGACGATCCTGGTATGAAAAAGATCGGCACTTTACGCGTTAATTTACCTGATGTAGAATTAGGTTTAGATAGACCCGTGAAATTTTCTCTAATGTTTGGCGAGTTGGCAATTACAGCTGTAGCCGTGAACAAGAAAAATGGAAAATTCTATACTGCTGTTTTTGATTATGTTAAGTCAGATTTTGATTTAGAATCGCACTAAATATTTTGTATTCAATAGATTAGTAAATTCTAAATTCAATAAATAATAAGGATCAAAGGGCATTAACGAATAAAAGATTTTGTATGTTGAACGTTTTTGTTTCATTCTGTCTCTTATTCATAATTAACTTAACTTATCGATTGTCGATTATAATTACTTTGTATGGAAAAAATTCTTTGTAAAAATAATTAAAAAATAAAAGAAGTATCGGAAAATGTAGACATAGTTAAGTGGGAAAAAAGCAGAAAGCAATAGAGAAGATTAAACAAGTAATCAAATGAACGAATAAACGAATCACGATAATAATAAAAAAAATTGCTTTCATAATAGGCATAGTTTTAATATAAAACTCTTTTGAACCTACATTTTACATTTACAGTAGCAAGTTATATTTTGATTTCTTTTCATTTTTAATGATTTCAATAACATCGCAATAGAAATGCCTAATATTATATTTTCCGTAGAAATTTCCACCCTCAACAGACTGCGGTACTATTTAAATACCTTCTCGTAACGTTTTTTATTTCTCTTCCGGAGTAATGGCATTCTCCTAAATTGTGCTGTCCGGAAGAATCTACTCTTTCAGTACCACTGAAATGTTTTCTTTGTAGTGTAACACGAGAAATTGAAACGCGACTTTCGCCACGTGACTGATTGCCGGTTAGATGACAGTGCACGATTATCTAATGAGAGAGGAGGGAAGGATTGTAAAAAAGAATTGTGATATAATCGATATTGTTGTTTTTTAGCATAGCCCCTTAATGTTGTAAATAATTAAAGTATAAAAAGAAGAATGTAATGAGACAATTTTGAACAATCGATTAAGAAAAAAAATTATTAATTGCTTTATCTTTGACCAAATCAGCCCGAATAATACTTTTTAGAACACTCGCCATAATTCATAATCCGCCAATTGTGTTATTTCGTAGCGACGAGTTTGCAGACGGTCGTTACAGTAGTCATGAGCGATTCCTACAATATCTAAGATTTTTTGTCTCCAATTATTTCCGCCTTCAGTAGATTTCAGGAACAACTAGAATGCTTTCTCGTGATCTTGTGGGTTACTAATTTCCTTCCGATAATAATATTTAAAATTATTTTGCCCTGTGATTCCATCTTCAGAGGTTTCAGATACCACTAAAATTTCTTTTTTATACAATTTTACAAAGAACCAAAGAAGAATAACTTATAAAGAGATTTCTTAATAATTAATTAATATGTTAAATATATGTCTCAGGGTTGTCTGATTGCTCTTAATAAACGTATTGATGCAAGTTGTAAATTTAAATCAGAAAGCCTATCTAATTAACAATGATTTAATATAATTCATTTCATGTGCTAAATTTAAATTCCTTAAAATGAATAGGCAATTGATATTTAATTTTCAATAAAATAAAGCTACAAGTACTATTTTCTGTTCATTTCTCGCCATTAACAACACTAAGTATAATTAGTCAATATCATACTAATCACCATCTTATGGAACATTAATCTCAATAGAAAATGTTTATCTCAAAGTTTTAAACTCAACTATTAAATCTCATATAAAAAGCATTATTTTGCTATCTTGAAAACTATTTCTTAGGATATTGTAAAAGTGACAAAAAAATGAAATAACAGATAAGTGATATTCTCACCCAATTAGAGTTTAATTGAGGCTTGAGAGATTTTAGAGATTTTAGGGATTTTTCTACATGTATAAAAAAAGAGAGAAATATACTAGAAAATAAATAAATAAATAAAGACCCTTTCAAAAATGACTCAGTTCCATATCTAACACTTTAATTTACATCATGCCAAAATTCATATGCCTTTATTTGACATTACATAATCTGTGATCATGATGTAGTGACAGACTTACCAATTATCACCTCAACAATATATGTATAGCGAATAATCTCTCCAAATATCTTTTAATAAAATATTTTATTTAAATAATAACAGCCTACAGCAATTAAACCTGAAATAAATCAATAATAAAATAGGCCATAAATTAGATTATTTCATATAACATTGGCTTAAACTTTTGTTCTTTAAAATATTCTAATTTTTTCTAGTTTTTTTTTTTTAAAGTATCTATATTTATTGAAATTTTCATTTTAATAAATCTTCCAAGAGTTGGATATTAATTGACTTTTAATAATTTATCCTTTGACTTTTTGTTATCTTTGAAAAATTTTATTCTTTTTAATAAATTTTTTATAGAATTGTTAAAATTTGCCTATAAAGGTTTGACCTTTTGAAATTTGATTAAATTTGATTTTGATTCTGTTCTTAAATAGTGTTGTCATTATTGATAAGTCTATTACTAAAACAGCTCACTCTTCATATAATAATAATATGAATATTTGAATTTTGGCACTAAATAAGTCAAGGCTTTAACTTTGAGACAGTTATAATTTGGTAGACTTTTGCACTTGCTAATTTCTTTTTGACTGTCTTCTCCTTTAGCCATGTCTCAAAATCACAAGTGACACTCTTTATGGTACAAAAGGTAATGTCATATCTCTCTTTCTTAAATGAATTTACTTTACTATAGTAACATAGGCTTAGTTTATATTTTAAAGAATGTGAACTGTTTATTGTATAAAATAAACTAGCATTAAAAAGTATTCTAAAACAAAAATTAAATTTTCAATCTAGAATTTGTTTTTCAATGCTATTTAAATTATTCTATTTATATACCTTGTAGATACATCCAAATCTCATTATATGCTGTTACTAATTATTACATAATTCTACCATCCATGTTACTGTTATTAAATGATGCATCACAATATTGCATTCCTATTTCTATTGTTTCTATAACAATAGTAAGCTTTTATTTAAAAAACTTAATAATTTAGATTTTCTTATTTTTATACCAATTAATTTTTTTATAGTTTTCTATATTTGTTAAAATTTTTTAACTCTCAATATTGATTTTTATCTAAGATTTTTTTTAAAAAATTTTTTTATAATTTTCAGTTCTAATATTGTCATTTAGTTTTTAATACTTCACATTTATTTATAAGAGTAAACTTAATTGTTTTGAGTTAAAATAGTATAGATTCCTTGCTAAAGTTAAAAAAGTATATATAATATTTTAAGGTAATATTTTGTTTATATTTTTGTTAATTAATCTATAAATATAATATTGTGTTTTCTTAAAAATAAAATTGTCTTGAAGTATATTGAATAAACAAAAATCTATATTCATAATAACTGACATATAGTATAGTAGATATGAGTTGCAAACTTTAAAATAATAATTTTTAATAATCATTTAATAAATTTGATACAATACAAGTTTTATTCTATTTATTAAAGTAAAATTGTTTATTTATATATATCAATATTGTATTGGATAGTCATTTGTTTTAATAACAGTAGCAACTCTATAAGATATACTATCAATTAAATTAATTAAAATATTAGGTTCAATTAAATTCTATTTCTCTTAAAAAGCAATTATCAATCCAGTTTGTTTTTGAAATAATTTGGCCATGCATAAACTTTTCTTTTAAGATATTTCACAAATGCTCAATTGAATTAAAATCTGGATTTTAAGCAGGCTATGAAAATAATTGAATTAAATTATTTTCTTCCTATTCTTTCACTTATTTTATTCTATATACAAAAGCATTATTATCATGAAAGAAACATAAAGAATTATCAATAAAAGATTTAAAATAATTTTTAAGAACTTTTGAATATTCTTGTTAATTAATTAAACCAAAAATCTCAATTAAAGGTTCAAATGTATTTTGCGAAAAACAGTCCTATACCATTATACTTTTTTCATTTGATTTACAATAGATAAAATATGGTAGTCACAAAAAAGATTCTTATTTTTTTTTGTGACTAATAAAAAACTCATAAAATAAACTTTATTTGTGTAAAAATTTGTAAAAATGAGATAATTGTCATAAAAAAAAATACATAAATATCAATAATCAGATTTTTTTTCTTTCTTTTAATCACTTGTTCAATATGATTTTTTATATTACCTGCTAAATTAAGGTAGAGGTATTGATCTAAACTGTCCTATTCTTTTTGAATAATTGACCAAAAATCAATAGTATTAAGTTTTTTTTATAAGTCTATTGTTTATAATTTTCTCTATTCTATTTTTTAGTACAGCTTATAGGTTCTCTATAGGATTCAGATCAGATGAATTCAAAGGCCAGTCAAGCATTTGAACATAATAATTTTCAAAAAGCTAATGTGTAACCCAAGTTATATGAATGGGAGAGTTGTTCTGCTGGAAATGCTAGTCACAATCTGTTTGTGAAGTATTAAAGAAAAAGTGAGTTTTAAAATTTCACAATATCTCTGTGAGTTAAGATTTTCTATAAATAAAACTAGTACAATTGGTTCTGTACTGAAAATGCTCCTCATGCATGAATTTTAAATAAATGTTTTATCATGCTATGGTATAGACATGGGTTTTCACAACAGTACCTTATTTATTGTGTGTTTCTGAATATTTGTAATATTGTTTCATCAGAAAAAATCATACTAAACCACCTGTCTTGCATATGTTTATGGACCCAGTTAAGACAGGCAGTAATGTGAAAGAGTTAGAGAAAGAAATGCATAATAGTTGACAAACAATTTATTGAAGATCCTTTTTAAGAATTATCTGAATAATATAAATTGATATATTTAAGTTTGGTGAATTTCATTAAGTCTAGCAACTACTTTAGTGACAATAACTATATTATTGACTTGTATAAGTTTCCTGGAATAATGATGCTCTTTTGGTGTTAGAATTTTGGATCTTTCAGGAATGGGAAGTAAGACTAGGGTGTCTCTTTTTTTGAGTCAATTTACATAATTATATGTTGTGCTCTTTGGAAAATTTGTAATTTGTATGATTTTGATAGGTTTTCTTATATCATTATTCCATAACTACTTTATGACTATTTTTTGTATAGCAAGATCAGTGTTGGACAACATTGTTCATATCTAGTACTAATCTAGTACTAATTTGGCAGCTTAAAATAGTCGAGTTATTTATATAAACTAGTACACATAAGTTATTTAATATAAATGACTTATTTTAAAAATGGACTTACTCTGAATTCAGTTGTTATCTCATTTTTTTGTGTAATAAAACAAAAGTCCAGATCTTTTTTATATCTATTGTACAATATATATCATATTTTTTATGAAGTTTTTGTCAAATTTACTTATATGGATTATTTGCAAATATTTAATATCAAGATTTATTACTTCAAACAACTAATTATCTCTTAACAGTCTAACTTTTTTTATTACATTGTTTTAATATTTTTTATCTATTTTTTTTTTGAAATAAAAGATTTTCTAACTCCAACTCAACTATAATAACCTTGTTTATAAAGTATATAAGAGATAGTCTTATTTCTAATGAAATAATTATAGTATTGAAAAATTTAATAATTTGTTTCACAGCTTATTGATGATTTTATTTAACAATTCTGATTTCATGTCTAGTTATGCCAACACTCATAATTTTTGATTTATTTGATCATGGAGCAGTCTTGACTTTTTCAAACTTCTTGTACCTATTAATTATACTTGTAACTGTTATTCATTATCAATTTAAGATTTTTGCAATATTTTTATAAAAAAAACTACCCTTAAAAAGACCAATTATTTTATCACATTCAAAATCTGTTAACTGAAAACCTTTTTTCAATTTTTTAAATATTTGCCATTACATTAAGAAATTTTTTAATTGTATATGAAAGCTATAGCTTTTAGCTTTCTAACAACATATATTATTATTATATCATGTTTTTTAATCAGTTACCCATAATTCTTTTTATTGATATTTCATTGGTTAAAGTAAGCAAATTATATTTGTTATTATTAAATAAACAAATTACAAATTATATTATATTACAAATAACATCATTGGAATTATTTTTGAATATAAAATAAAGCATTTGAAAATGTACAATTTTGAAAAATAGGGATTTCAGAAGAATTATTATTATAAGATTTGAAAGAATTCAATGAAATATCTTGTAATAGAATTTTTGAATTTAAATTATTGTTAGATACTCCACCAGTAATATTAATTAATGAATTTATTGTATGTTGTTCTTTATTAACTTTTTTGTAGATACAGATTTCTTGAACACTTTTATAACCTGTATGTGCCATAATCACTTGTTTCTAAATATCTGGATTATGTAAATGTTGAGTGGCCATTTTTTGTCCTGATTAATTGATAAGTAAATTAAGAGAAATATTAATTTTTGTCTTGCATCGAATTTCTTGCATAAATTTACTTAATTTATTTTTTTAAAAATGATTTGATTTGTATCAAATATTTGTCTCAAATCAAGATAAATTAGGTTGTAAATAAAAATTTGAATCAGCTGAAGATGGATGTTTATATAAATAAAATTGTATATCAGTACAAGGTCCAGTATCATCTGCAAATATTGAAATAATATGAGCTTATTTTCCTTGTAATTTATGTTGATTATTTTTAGAAGTGTAAAGAAAAAGTTGTAAATTACCATATTCATCAGATTTTTATTGATCAACCTTAAGTTCATAATGTTCTTCTCTACACAAAGCAAGAATAATTGATAGATGAAAAAATACATGGTATAAAAGACTTTCAGGATTGATACAATTAATTTTAGGATACTGAAAAATATTATGAATTTGTTGAGAATTAAGAGCAATTGAACCTGATGTTTTGCCAAATTCGCATTCTTGAAGATCTTGTAACTTGCCATGTAAAACATCGTGAAGATCAGGAAACATATATTTGTTATGCAAATTAATTCCAAAAATAAGTAAATGATAAAGAAAATATTGATTGAGAGCATCAATAGCATGTTTAACTGAAGTTGCTTTATAATCATTTTTATCTTGTTTTTTCATTGTCAAAATATATTCTACAATTTGTTGTTGTAGTTGTTTAATATCACTAAGATCAGTTAATGGAATCAAATAACCAGCATCAGTGTGAAATTCTTCAAATTTAGTGATTCAATTCTTGGTTGATTTTTCGGTATTTCTAACTTTGGCCTTTCATGATAATAAGAAAATTTATCTTGCACAACATCTTGAATTTGAGTATTATTATTTTTGTTTTTTTTGGTAGAATTGTTTAAATAATCATTTTCAAGTACCATTTTTGCTGTTTTGAAACTTGATGTGGAAAAAGTAACTGCTGAAGATTTTTGTTTTAATTTATTTTTCATGATTTCGAGAAAAAAAAAGGTTAATTTATTACGACATTATTATTTACCCGTGATATATCAAGTTAAAATCACAGGATGTTAGGCTCTGTGATATCACCGATCAGCCTCAATGATATCTATGGCATTCCGGTGAATAACTATTACTTATTTACTTCCATATTCGTTACACAATTGTAAGCTAAAGTTGGGCAAAAAATTCAAAAATATCACCATTGATCATTTCAGATGCAGGCTTGAGTTCACCAGTGTAGATTTGCATTATAAAGTTTGTTCCTAATAAATATTGTATCTTTTTTCAGTTAAATTATTTGTTTAGCAAAAATTGAATATTGTAATTTGCAAGTTATCAATAGTTTTTAGTACTTGAATTAAAAAGTTCTTTGAACATTTGAATGAATAAGATATATTATTTAAATATTATTATATTATTGTTTGAATTTGTAATTTAATATAATTTTATGCAACTTAATATAATTTAATAAAGTAAAATATAATATAATATAATAAATTTATATTTAATATATTTTAATATACAGTATAAAATACATACGAATCTTGTGTTGAATTATAATCGATTATTTTTCGCTGGTTATTGTGATTGACACATGAGCGACAATTTTCGCGTTTGCTAATCAAATTCTGTAGTCTGGAGCTGAAGCCTATAAAAACGCGCCATGTCACGGGTCTAATCTATATGTTCATCCTTTAGCGTGAGCAAGCCTTCGGCTAATCAATAAGTGTAAAATCGTGAAAAAACCCAGCATTACATTCAAAATGTTCTCATTCACTTTTGATTTTTTACTACTCCCCATCATTATGTTTGTTCAAACAGTGTTTTTATATATCGTAACAGATACAATTCCGGGAACACTGAAAGGCGATTCGACGCAAAATTGACTTCCACCCTCAAAACAACAAAAATTATTCCTGATTTATCTGAAACTGTAAAACTCCTCGGTTACGATATTCGTGAAGTTCGAGATAGGGTTGCAAGTAGTAACGCGGGATCTAGTACATCCAAATCACCTCAAAATTATACTGGCATCATTTCCGATCCCCAGGATGGCATTGATGCCCAGTTCAAAAAAAAGAAAACACACGAAAAGCGGTCTAAGGCAAGGGAGTTTGCTATCAATCATAAAAGGGAGATAGTAATCTGTGATTCCACCGTTAGAAATTTTCATAAAAAATTGAATAAAAATCCGAAAGAAGATACGCTGGATTCATCAAAATTAGGAGTATTAGAACAGAAGAGTGAAATAGATACTGAACTGAAAAGTGAGGAGAGAGAAATAGTGATGGCGCTGGACCTAGTGGGACGAGAGAATAGGTGTCCACATTATAATGCTTTGGGTAGTGGATTCCCTCCCATGCAGTCGTGCTAGGTTCAAGCCTTTTATATCTGTATTAGCGAGACCTCTTAGTTTTATCCGTGCTGATAATTTTAGTCGTGGGCCGAGATTTTTAACAATCTTGATAATCGTGACACAATCACTAGCCTGATAAATTCCTTTTGTCGTGGGAAAAAATTATTTTTTTAAATACTCAGCAGTATCTTCTAGCTTGCAACTATCTTCTCCAAAACCAAAATAGCAACACACACCAGCTCGGATGGATATTCCTTTGTTCGAAATTTTAGCAATGTCAGTACAGTAAAGTAAGCACTAGATCTAAAACTACTGTGTGAGTAAATATGTGTAACTAGTATTTCTCTAATCTTTCAGCTAACTTTCCAGAGCTATTATTTAACAAGATCGTTGATGTTGTTCTAAAAAGAATGCCAGAATTCCATTATTATCGAACCTTGTGGTGGGAAAAAGGCGACTTCAATCCAAAAGCAAAATGGGAAGAGGCAACGTGAGTCCCTTTCCTAACTTGTTTTGAAGTTGACTCGCTATTTTATGATCTATGCCAATTTTTGTTGTTCGTATCAGACTTCCGTACAAACTTGCAGCTGGTGTAAGCTTAGAAGAATATGAAGAGCGTTCGGATAAGTTTAACATCTGTGGATATTGGGAATAGATTAACGGTGATGTTATAATTTATGAACTTCCGTCAAAGCCACACGAAGTTTTTACGTATTGCTGCAATCTCTCGAGTATTCCTCAGGCAATGCGATCCTGTGTTTTCAACTGATGGTGATATCATAGGTCTTGGTGCAATTCGTAAATATTAATTCATTAACTATCCCAGCATTATATCAAATAAAGCATTGTTCTTCTTAAGGAACTCGCGCCGACGATTCTGAGAAAGAAGGAGATGCATGTTTTCGCCCTAAAAAACCACGAGTGCAACAACCAAATGGAAGTGATGGAGAGGTACATTCTTTTATTGGCCTAGAACTCTTGAGAACTAAGATTTCATATTTTCACAATTTCAGAATGAGCCCTGGCCTAATCTCGTGATCGAAGTGGCGTATTCTGAGAGTGAATCACATGTTCTTGAAAAAGTGAAAGATTTCTGGCTACGCAATTGGAGTCGTGCCCACGACACAATCGTGGTTAAGATCGATAAACCTTTTGAAGCAAAGAAAGCTCCTTTACGGATGCAAGTAAGTTTATATTCCTAAAATACACATGACATTTCATTGTTTGTTTGTCATTTTAAATAATTTAACCTACCAGGCATGGCACTTTTGTGCCAGGGACAGACCAAGAAGAACAGCAGATATCCAGCCTCGGACTTATGTAATGTCATAAACAGAAAATAATCATCTTTTTTTATCAATGTGCCCAATTTCTAACCTGATGTTTAATTTTTAGTTTGAATTCGGTACCCATGACAAATATGGGAACCCGACAAATATTGAACAAGGCCAATGTGTCATCAATATTTCTCTGGATTGTTTGTATGACAATGCATATCCTGAAGCTATAATTCACCGACAACTTCTCCCTGATCCAATTGTACTGGATTTCTTGATAATTCGGAACCAATTCATTCTTGCGTATGAATAACAAAAGGGAGTAAATAATGTGGTGATTTATTTTAATAAACAGTGAGATTTTTTGCGCATGATAAGGAATGTATTATGGGGTAGTCTCTGAGATGCGATGATTTGAGACACCTGAGAAGCGTAAATAGTTTGATAAACCTTTCTACTGTGTCAGTCACTGACATGTTTTCTATTGTGTAACAATGTAACAAAAGTGATCAGCATTCTGTTTCGGTAATTTTTAAACAAAGAAATCTGCTCTTTATATAAAAGTGGTTGTTATCAGGGCTTGAATCTCAATCTGCTCAACCAAAAATCGTTTCGTTGTAAGCATTAAATTCTCAACTCATTGCCATGATTGCTAAGCTTAGAAAGGACAATGCCGAGATAAAAGCCAAGAATACAAGATTGAAACAAGATAAAGAAGAAATTGAGGCTAGGTTTGTAAAACTAGAGCTGAAGGACAAAGAAACATCAATATTTATTACTAAATTACATGATGTCTCAATAATCAAGGAACAGAGCGTGCAAGATAAGAATACGGAGTGTCATAGATTGTTACTGATACACAAAATACACTTTCTACGAAAGATATTTCACAACCTTTGATAAATTCTAATAATACACCTGATCAGACAGTCTCACAATGTAAGGATACCCCTATATCTGATAATACTTCAAACTCTGATGTATCTAACAAAAAAAATAACTTCCCATGTTTGCTAAATAATATTAAGGAACTGACAGAGTTCTTCTTTACTTCTTATTTCTGTTATTATTCAAAACACCTTTACCAACTCTATAGGATCTTCTACTAACATTGAATTTATAAGCAAAAAGAACATATCCTGTATTCAAAATTGCAACTTATTACACTTATAGAATCTCATAACAAATACATGATCTTCTTTCTAATTCACTTTAATCCAAACAATTACAAATCTTCCAAATAATCCATATATTCTAATTTTCTTAAAGAATCTACTCACATTGTTGACATCTCTCTTGGCAAGTCTGTCACTTCTCCAGAGCACTTTTCATGTAATGTCAAGTAAGTGTTTGGCTTTTCTACTTGAGACATGTGGATTGTTTAGCTGAGTTTTACTAACACTTTCCTTTTCTTTCCATTGTTTGCTTCTCTTAACAAATCTTTACCACTTTTTCCTTTATGATCCTAATTGTCCTATGTCATGACAAGTATTGGATTAGGTAAGTTAATTAGTTTTTACTCCTTTTGACAACAACTATCATATGTCCTAATTAAAAAGGTTTTAATTTAGGGAACAGTTTTTCTTATTATTCATGCTATTGCTCTTTTTTCGGTCTCCCCTCCTTTTTATCCTATTTCATACACCTTTATTTTTTCTATAATTATGCCATGCGATCTCCCTTAAGCTCTGATAGACTATTTGTAATTAATAAGCTATTTAAAGTTATGGCTAATTTAAGCTTCCTAAAATTATATTATTGCTTTACATGTCCCTATAGACTATAAGTTATTAATTATTGCAAATAAGGATATGCGACATGCCAAAATGTGTTTGTGCAGTCATGCCCCATATCATTTCTCCACTAACATAATAGATTATACTTGATTACTGTAACAAGCAAGTCAAAATACTTTTCGGTAGATTTATTCATAAAAGAATCTCACAAGTCCCAATAAAAAATATAAATATTATATTGAAAAAACAAAGTAATAACCTTGCTATCAACCTAAATTAATACCTACTCACCTTATTACAAATTCTGATTCTTTAAGTTCTTTTTAATTTTTATGATTTATCTTTAATAAATCAAAAAAACTTTACCAGTATTGTATACTGAATCACATTCATCAACTATACAAACCTTTTTAACATTTTATTAAGTTACTTAATAATTATTAAACTCAATGATTTTTTGATTCAAAAGTAATTATTAATACTAACAAAAAAATTAAAAACACCAATAAAATCAAATATGGATTTATTGCAACCTTTAGAACAAAGTTAATCTCAAATTAAATTCAAATTAAATTCAAATTACATCAAAAATATTTTGATTTATAGAATACCAACCCCTGTTTTTAGTGAAATGTCTATCTAGAAACAACAAGTTATACTTTATATTATTATATAATCAAATATAACAAAAAAAGACAAATTAAGCATATTAATTAACAATTATCTTATAAAACCAATTTCCAAGCAAACTCTTTTAACTTCCATCTTAATGAATCTACTAATATTTAACTTAACTATCTGTATATTTCAATCATCTTTCAATCAAATTAAAAAAAGGTAAAAATATTAAATAAGGCTCTAAAAAGTCTTTACAAAATATAAAACAAAGATTAGAAACAATTTTCAAAATATTATTATTGAGAATAAAATAGAAAAAAAAAAAATTATTAATAAATAAAATTTTAATTAATATTAATTTCAATTCTATATTCCAAAAAATCATTGATATATTAACTACAAATATTAATTTTACAATATAAATTAATTTTTAATTTTGCAGTTATCTTATTATTCTAAATGAACATTAACTATTTGAAACCAATTCTATAAACATACTCCTGTAGTGTAAGCTGTTAGTATCAGTATAGTTGCAATAGGTTACAATTAATTTATATTTTTCAAATATTGTTAATATAATAGTAACAAGTTTATATTTAATAAAGTCTTGATTTTGGTATCCATTTGCAATAAAATAATAAAAATAGAAATAGATAAAAATTAATTATTAAAGTAGAAAATATATTTAATTTTTTAATTTTTATAGAAATATAATATAATAATATAAAATAGAATTCAAAACATAAGTAATAGCTATATATACAGTAACTTTGAGTCTAACTATTTTTTCCTATGTAAGTTATATTTTATATTTAATTTATATTTTCATAATTTCATTTATGATTTATATATAAAATTTGAATAAATAAATATTTTATTATAGTTTATAATATATAATTACAATATAATAAATTATTATATATACACTATATGAACAAAAGTATCACACATCTTAAATTTATTATTATATAAAAATGTACATAATAACTTTATTTAAAATTTTAATATGTTATTGTTTATATT